GAGCTATGATCATGCCACTGCATTCCAGTCTGGGTGACAGAGTGACAGAGTGAGATTCAGTCTCTAAACAAAACAAAATACAACACACAAAACAACACAATACATTCTGCAGTGCAGGTTCAGAAACCTACTGTGGCTGCCTGAGGTATGAGCTACTTCTGTTTGTTTCTCTATTAAATATTTATTTTTGAGAAACTTAGTTTTGTCAACTTCTTTCTTCAGCCTCTTAGCTCCTTTGGCCTTTGGGGCTAGGTTTGCATATACCTGCTCTATGCAGCTCACAGTGGAACAATACCTATTTTTAGTTATTATTATTATTCTTTTCTTTTTTTGAGATGGAGTCTCACTCTGTCACCAGGCTGGAGTGCAATGGTGCCACCTTGGCTCCCTGCAACCTCCACCTCCCAGGTTCAAGCGATTCTCCTGCCTCAGCCTCCCAAGTAGCTGGGATTACAGGTGTGCACCACCATGCCTGGCTAATTTTTGTATTTTTAGTAGAGACGGGGTTTTGCCATGTCGGCCAGGCTGGTCTCGAACTGCCAACCTCAGGTGATCCACCCACCTCGGCCTCCCAAAGTGCTGGGATTATAGGTATGAGCCACCACCCCCAGCCAGCACCTATTTCTAGGTCATCATTTCTGTTGGGGTTTAAGAGTTGAATACCCATATCACATTGACCAGGAATTGATTGACTGATTGATTGTAGAGACGAAGTCTTGCTACGTTGCTCAGTGTGGTTTGGAACTCCTGGGTTCAAAACCCTCTCAAACTATTGGGATTACAGGCATGAGCTACCATGCCCAGCCTTGACCAGGAATTTAAAATCCACTTATTTTCATGATTTATACTGATTTCTGGCTGAAACCAACACTCTTCACTGGATTTATTCAATTCACAGATTTCAATGTTTGGTTCCCATCTTGTCCACTTTAAGGTAGATTTTATGTGCAATAAAAGGTGTTCAGACATTTTAAAAAGAAACTCTATTTGAAAATTTTTTAGGGACTCCTGAGCCTCTGACATATGTCCCAATTACCCTATTCTCAGGTCAGGCTGAGGTGGGGCATGTGCCTGGATTCATCTAACACTGATTGATTGGAAGCAACTGATGTTATTTCTCCAGCGGTGCTTGGAAACTTATGGTTTTCCTCTGGCAACCAACACCATGTTCATTAATAAACTAACAATAGGCTTCTCTGTGGAGTTTCTCTTGCTGCCATCTTCGTTCATTTTCACAAATGATTATGGTATTTACAGTAGGCAGAATAATGTCCCCCCCACCATGGCCACGACCTAATCCCCAGCACAGATGAATATGTTACTTTTTCTGGCAAATGGACTTTGCAGATGTAATTAAGTTAACAATTTTAAACGGAGAGGTTATTTTGGTGTACCAACATGGATCCGATGTAATCACAAAGATTCTTCTAGAGTGAAAGAGGGAAGCAGGAGAGCCAGGGAAGATGTGATAATGGAAGCAGGAGTCAGAGAACTGTGCCTGCTGGATTTGACAAGGAAGAGGGACGCAAGACCAGGAACGCAGGCAGCCTCTAGAAGCTGGAAAAAGCAAAGAAATGAATCTTCCCGTGGAGCTGCCAGAAGGAATACAGCTTTGCTTTTATTTTTAGCCCAACAAGACCCATTTCAGGAATCTTTCTCTCAGAACTGTGAGATCATAAAGTTGGGTTATCTTAAGTCACCAAGCTCATGGTAATATGTTACAGCAACATTGAGAAATGAACTGTCTTCTTGTTTTGAGCGTTGTTTATTATCTTAACCTGTACTGGATGTAGATTGACTCATGCTGACACACCCTGGCTCTCACATTGCTTTCCATGTGTTGGAAGAAGGTCTCAGCCTTCCATTGTTGGTGCTTTTGTGAAGTGCTTCTCACAGGGAGCAACAGGAGAGGGTTGAGTTCTTCAAACTGGGTTGCCTGTGAAGCCCGGGTGCTGCTGCTTCTCTCCTACCACTGCTGCAAAGTTGAGGACATGCTCCAGGGTTTTTGTTGTTTGGTTAGGCGTTCTCGACTGTCCAGGAATTAGGTAATCCTTTTCCTGAAGATATGTGGCAGTGGGGTGTAGTGGTGAGCCTCTCTTTAGCCAGAGGCAGAGACTGGGGGCGGATGAAAGGGGTCTAGTGGGGTCAGGGCTGGCATCACTTTTGTTTTTCTTGTTTGTTTTTGAGATGGAGTCTCTCTGTTGCCCAGGCTGGAGTGCAATGGCGTGACGTGGGCTCACTGCAACCTCCGCCTCCCGGGTTCAAGTGATTCTCCTGCCTCAGCCTCTTGAGTAGCTGGGATTACAGGCATGCGCCATGCGCCACCACGCCCAACTAATTTTTGTATTTTTAGGAGAGGTGGGTTTTCACCATGTTGGTCAGGCTGGTTTCGAACTCTTGACCTCAGGTGATCTACCCACCTTGGCCTCCCAAAATGCTGGGATTACAGGCGTGAACCACTGTGCTTGGCCTGTCATCACTTTTCAAGAGGCAGTTTCTCCTTCTAAATCCATCTCAATCTCCAGTGAGAGAGGAGCCAGGAGCCCGGCTGCCATGCTGCGTGGTCCATCCAGGTGGAAGGGAAGGCTATGGAGGAGAGCCAGGCTCCTGTTCTTTGTTTTGGTCAGTTCAGAAGTCACTTACTAACCAAGAAGTCCTTTCAGGGAAAGGATTCACTCTACCCCTACAGAATAGCTTTGTTTCACATGTTTTCTTGAACAGAAATTTGTAGAACCACAGCCTCTTGCATAATTTTTTTTTTTTTTTTTTTTTGAGACGGAGTCTCGCTCTGTCACCCAGGCTGGAGTGCAGTGGCCGGATCTCAGCTCACTGCAAGCTCCGCCTCCCGGGTTTACGCCATTCTCCTGCCTCAGCCACCCGAGTAGCTGGGACTACAGACGCCCGCCACCTCGCCCGGCTAGTTTTTTTGTATTTTTTAGTAGAGACAGGGTTTCACCGTGTTAGCCAGGATGGTCTCGATCTCCTGACCTCGTGATCCGCCCGTCTCGGCCTCCCAAAGTGCTAGGATTACAGGCTTGAGCCACCGCGCCCGGCCTAATTTTTTTTTTTTTTTTTTTTTTTTTTTTTTTAAGACAGAGTTTCACTCTTGTCGCCCAGGATGGAGTGCAGTGGCATGATCTCAGCCAACCTCTGCCTCCCAGGTTAAAGCGATTCTCCTGCTTCGGCCTCCTGAGTAGCTGGGACTACAGGCGCCCGCCACCACACCCAGCTAATTTTTGTATTTTTAGTAGAGACAGGGTTTTGCCTTGTTGGTCAGGATGGTGTCGAACTCCTGACCTTAGGTGATCCACCTGCCTCGGCCTCCCAAAGTGCTGGGATTACAGGCTTGAGTCACTGTACCCAGCTGCATAATTATTTTAATTGGTTCATAATAATGAGCCAGAGTTGTACTCTGTCGCCCAGGCTGGAGCACAGTGGTGTGATCACAGCTCACTGCAGCCTCGACCTCCTGGGCTCAGGCGATCCTCTCATCTCAGCCTCCCTAATAGCTGGGGCCACAGGCACGTGCCACAATGCCCGGCTAATATTTATATTTTACTGTAAAGATGGGGTCGCACTATGTTACCTAGACTGGTTTCAAACTCCTGGGCCCGTGATCCACCTTGCTTGGATCTCCCAAAGTGCTGGGATTACAGGCATGAGCCAGTGTACCCGCAATCTTGCATCATTTTGATTAGGAATTAGTCCTCAGAAACCAGCCATGGCAGCATGGCAGAAGAGACAGCTGAACATGTCTTGCTTTATCCACTATGCATACTTTTTTTTGAGACGAGTCCCGCTCTGTCGCCGGAGCTGGAGTGCAGTGGCTCGATCTTGGCTCACTGCAACCTCCGCCTCCGGGGTTCAAGCGATTCTCCTGCCTCAGCCTTCCTAGTAGCTGGGACTACAGGCGCGCGCCACCACGCCCAGCTAATTTTTGTATTGTAGAGACGGGGTTTCACCATGTTGGCCAGGCTGGTTTCGATCTCTTGACCTCGTGACCCGCCCGCCTCGGCCTCCCAAAATGCTGGGATTACTGGCGTGAGCCACCGCGCCCTGCCCACTATGCATACATTTGATTTGTGATTCTTTTGCGGCAAAACCTGATCTTCACTTAGATTCAGGTTACTTTATTAACTATTACTAATGATTGTGAACAGTGCATTCTAATAAACTTATTTTTACGGGTATGCAATTGTGTAAATTGGTTAGACTTACTACAGTGTTTCGTTCTGGAACGAAAACGTAAGGCATTTTCCCCATAACTGCTTGGAACACGACAGCTACCTGCTACCATAATTACGGTAGTTTTTTATTTATGGAAGAGTTTATCTTAAACTTATCTAGAATCAAAAGTTAAAGAAAGTACTAATTATGACAAAAGCCGGGAGTCGTTGGCACTTGAAACCAGAGTTTGGTACTATGAGAAGGTTTTCAATTTTTAAAAGAAGGAAAAAAAGAAACACGGACGTCAGAAAAACTGGTTCAGTAGGGGTGGGGGCGGGTGCGAGAAGGCTACGGAATCCCCGAAGGCCCAGGAGGAACCTGGAACATGTTAACCGCTCCAGCTGGAGCGGGTGGTAAAAACGGCTCCGCCTCCTGCGAGGGCGGTGCAGTGCGCAGGCGTGCTGGGCTTCACCCGCGCAGGCGCAGTCGCCTCTGCTGGCGTGGTCCCCATGGAGCTGCCGTAGCTGACCCAGCACAGCCAGGAGTATCCGGGATGAGCTCAGCCGCGGCCGACCACTGGGCGTGGTTGCTGGTGCTCAGCTTCGTGTTTGGGTGCAATGTTCTTAGGATCCTCCTCCCGTCCTTCTCATCCTTCGTAAGTGGCTGCCTGGCCTCCCAAGGGCCGGTGGGGATGCCGCCACAGTCCCCTGGCGGGTCTGGGCGTAGGTACAGGGGTCTCAACTGGGCGACTGAAGGCCAGATTCAGCCCATAGTAGCGTCTTGGTTGGTCTGTAAGCTTTTTTGAGATAGTTGCTACCGTCTAAAAGGTGCGACGCTTTACCCCAGAATCAGACTTTCTGAGTTCTAAGGGGGTGAGGGGAGAAACATCCGGCAAACCTGGGCCACCCTTTCACGGGGCAAGAATCTTCTCGCTGTGGGTGGCGGCGGCGAACCTCACATTGGGAGTTCCTGGTGCCCCGCTGCCAGCCTCTCCCGTTTCCGTTAATCCTGGTCCCTAGAGGCATTCGAGCAGCCCTCACCCAGGGTTTTCCCAGAGGCCTGGCGGGCGAAGTCAGCTGTTCCAGGTCCCGGAGAGATGGATCCTAGCGTCCAGGAGCCCACATTCTTGGGGTGGGTAGGGTGGGAGACAGGTGCAGAGAGAATCTCAGTACAGCGTGATGCCTTCAGTATCCAAGGGAGCAACCAGCTTGGGGAGCACTCTTTCTGCCAGGTAGTGAGTACATTACCTCCGTGTCTCGGCTGCTGGGAGAGGCGAGTATTATCCCATCCTCCTTTACCTCCCGGAGGAGTCTGGCTCAGAGAATTTAGTAGTGGCGCTAAGTCATCCACCTAGTGACTGGAGGTGGAGATTTGATTGCCTGTTGGAACAGGGATAGGGATAGGGATTTGGTGGCAAATTGAACAGGGCGTGGTGGGCTGTGGTCATGGGAGGTGGGGGTACCTTGGGAACTGTCCCCGGGAATGAGCGCCCTCTGTATGCCCACAGCAGGAATGAGGAGCTGTTGGGCACAGACGGAGACCTCAAAGATTGTGCGCATGCGTTGTAGCATTGTCTTGGAAAACAGTTCTTGCTTTTCTCTCCTAAGATAAATTGGTAATAGTGGAGTATATTTTATTCCATCAGTATTCACTGAGTGCTTGTTTTGTGTAAAACTCTATTCTTACTCTCTCCAGTGTCCTACTGTCTGCATTGTCCTGGAGATACAGGGAATTCTCTTTTAACCCCTGAGTCTCCTTCAGAATCTTTCCTGATGCTATCCAGTCTTTTTAAGATGATGTCTCTCAGGTCCTTAGCATTGCATAAAAGACTCCTGATGAGCTGGCCCATGCTTATCTTCTTATTTTTAATTGTAAAATCTACATAATATGAAATTTATCATCTTTATCATTTTTAGGTGTACAGTTCAGTGGCATTAAGTACATTCACATTTTTGTGCAACCGTTATCCCAGAACTTTATTATTATTATTATTATTTTTTGAGATGGAGTCTCGCTCTGTCCCCAGGCTGGAGTGCAGTGGCCAGATCTCAGCTCACTGCAAGCCCCGCCTCCCGGGTTTACGCCATTCTCCTGCCTCAGCCTCCCGAGTAGCTGGGACTACAGGCGCCCGCCACCTCGCCCGGCTAGTTTTTTTGTATTTTTTAGTAGAGATGGAGTTTCACCGGGTTAGCCAGGATGGTCTCGATCTCCTGACCTCGTGATCCGCCCCTCTCGGCCTCCCAAAGTGCTGGGATTACAGGCTTGAGCCACCGCGCCCGGCCCTCTTTATTATTATTTTTTTAAGACAGGGTCTGGCTCTGTGCAGTGGCACAATCTCAGCTCATTGCAACCTCTGCCTCTCAGGTTCAAGGGATCCTCCCACCTCAGCCTCCCAAGTAGCTGGGACCACAGGCATGCACCACCATGCCCAGCTATTTTTTTTGTATTTTTCGTAGAGACAGAGCTTTGCCATGTTGGCCAGGCTGGTCTCAAACTCCAGACCTCAAGCCATCCGCCCACCTTCGCCTCCCAAACTGCTGGGATTACAGGTGTGAACCACTGCACCTGGCCCCGCTCCCAGAACTTTTTCTTTTTTCTTTTTTGGAACAGAATCTCAGTCTGTTGCCTATGCTGGAGTGCAGTGGCCTGATCTTGGCTCACTGCAGCCTCCACCTTCCAGGTTCAAGCGATTCTCCTACCTCAGCCTCCCAAGTAGCTGTGATTACAGGCACCTGCCACCATGCCTGGCTAATTTTTGTATTTTTAGTAGAGATGGGGTCTCACTATGTTGCCCAGGCTAGTCTCAAACTCCTGACCTCAAGTCATCTGCCCTCCTTGGCCTCCCAAAGTGCTAGTATTACAGGCATGTGCCACCATGCCCGGCCCCATATCACAACCTTTTTATCTCCTCTGACTGAAACTCTCGCACCCATTAAACGACTCTCCATTCCTGCCTCTCCCTGGCAACCTCCATTGTACTTTCTGTCTCTGTGAATTTGACTACTCTTGGGACCTATGTCATATAAGTGGAATCAGACAGTATTTTTCCTTTTGTGACTGGCTGCTTTTCACTCAGCATAATATCCTTAAGGTTCATCCGTGTTGTAGCATGAGTCGGGATTTCCTTCCCTTTTAAGGCTGAATAGTATCCCATTATATGTATAGGCCACATTTTGTTTATTCATCCATCTGTCTATGGACACTTGGGTTGTTTCTACCTTTTGACTATTGTAGATAATGCTAAAATGTTTACAGATACCTCTTGGAGTCTCTGCTTTCAGTTTTTCTGGACATATACCCAGAAGTGGAATTCCTGGATCTATGGTAATTCTATGTTGAATGTTTTTGAGAAACCACCATGCTGTTTTCCATAGCAGCCACACCATTCGACATTCCCACCAGCAATGCAGAAGGGTTCCAGTTGCTCCACATCCTTCAACACGTATTTTGTTTTCTTATTTATTGTTTTTATTTTTATTTATTATTTTTATTTTATTTATTTTTTTGAGATGGTGTCCTCTTGTCACCCAGGCTGGAGTGCAATGGTGCAATCTTGGCTCAGTGCAACCTCTGCCCCTCGGGTTCAAGAGATTCTCCTGCCTCAGCTTCCCAAGTAGCTGGGATTACAGGTGCCCACCACCATGCCTGGCTAATTTTTGTATTTTTAGTAGAGATGAGGTTTCACCATGTTGGCCAGGCTGGTCTCGAACTCCTGACCTCCAGTGATCCACCCGCCTTGGCCTCCCAAAGTGCTGGGATTACAGGCCTGAGCCACCGCACCCAGCTTATTTTTATTTTTTTAAGAGGGAGTCTCTCTTTGTCACCCAGGCTGGAGTGCAGTGGCTCAATCTTGGCTCACCTCTGCCTCCTGGGTTCAAGCAATTCTTCTGTCTCAGCCTTCCAAGTAGCTGGGATTACAGGTGCATGCCACCATGCCGGGCTAATTTTTGTATTTTTAGTAGAGACAGGGTTTTGCCATGTTGGCCAGGCCGGTCTCGAACTCCTGACCTCAGGTGATCCACCCACCTTGGTCGGTCTCCTAAAGTGCTGGTGTTACAGGCCTGAGCCACCACACCTGGCCTTTTTTTTTTTTTAAATACTAATTATCCTAATGGACAGAAGGTGGTATCTCATTTAGTTTTGATTTGCATTTCCCTAATAATTAGTGATGTTGAGTATCTTTTCAGATGCTTATGGCCGTCTGTTTATCTTTGGAGACATGTCTAGTCAAATCTTTTGCCCCCTTTTAAAATTCAGTTGTTTTTTGTTGTTGAGTTAGTTCCTTTTGTTGTTATTAGACAATTTTTTTTTTTTTTTTGAGACAAGAGTTTCGCTCTGTTGCCCAAGCCGGAGTGCAATGGCGCTGTCTCAGCTCACTGCAACCTCTGCCTCCTGGGTTCAAGCGATTCTCCTGCCTTAGCCTCCCAAGTAGCTGGGATTATGTGCATTCGCCACCACGCCCAGCCAATAATTTTTTTTTTTTTTTTTTAAACTTTTAAGTTCAGGGATACGTGTGCAGGTTTGTTATATAGGTAAACTTGTGTCATGGGAGTTTGTTGTAGAGATTATTTCGTCACCCAGTTATTAAGCCTAGTACTCATTAATTAATTTTCCTGATCGTCTCCCTCCCACCCCCCTCCCTCTGAAATAAAAAAATTTGTTTTTAGAGGCCAAGTCTTGCTCTGTGACTCAGGACCTGTGTCCACTCTTGTGCTGCCTCCTACAACAACCTTATGGCCTCTCTAACCTCAACCCAGTTAGCTTTCTTAAACCCATTTCCCTTGGATTGTAACACTTGTTGTTAGCCAGGTTCAGAAGGATAACATAATTATTATCCCAGCAGAGTACACCCACCCTGTAATTGGTAATAGAGATGTTTGGCCTGGTCACTGGGTTTGTGGTGACGGTCTGTGAGAAGCTGTAAGGAACGTGCTGGTCTTGAGTAGGGTCAAATGCTGCTCCTTCACCATCATCAGAGGCTACTTCATCACAGCCTCTGATTTGAGGATTCAAGTGGGAAAGACTCATGACAAGCAGCAGAAAGTCGAATTGGGAAAACAGTGCCCTCTGGAATGGGGCCAGGCTCAGGTACTTAAATCATAACCTCCCTTGGGATGTTTCTGAAGCAGAAGTTGGGGAGGCAGCGCCCTGATCTCATCACTCAGTCTAGGCTGCACTGGTTCCCCCCATCCCCCCGCCGCGCCCCCAGCTCCCTGCCCCACGTGAGGCCTTAGGAGGTCTGAAGTATCAGAAGTCCTTGGGCCAGTTAAGACTAGTAAGGTCCTGGGAGGCGATCTCAGCTGCCTGCTGCGGTGGGGGTGGGATGCCTGGTAAGGACACCAAGTCTCTGGCGTTGGCGTGGTTGGAATTTTCCCGGGGATCTCTACCTCCTCTTCAAGCTGGTCACGGACGCATAGTTCATTCAGTAGGTGGTCCGGGACTTTATTCAGCTATAGGAGGGCAACAAAGACGCCTTTGATGAGCGCCGGCTCTGCAGCTCTGCAGGTGCAGGGGAGGTGCACTGTGTAGGTACCCCAGGACTGGCGGGCGCTGTGGGTGTATGCGAACGACACGACCGTGCAGGCGTCCCAGGAGTGGCGCAGGGTCAGAGTCCATGCAAGCCGCACGCACTGCGCAGGTGCCCCAGTACTGGCACGGGCTCAAGAGTCCATGCAAACTGCACGCACTGCGCAGGTGCTCCAGGAGTGGCGCGGGCTCAGTCTATGCAAACTGCATGCACTGCGCAGGCGCCCCAGAAGTGGCACTGGCTCAGGGTCCCTGCGAGCCGCACGCACTGCGCAGGCGCCCCAGGACTGGTGTGGGCTGAGGGACCACAGGAGCCACACGCACTGCGCAGGCGCGAGGAGGCCCTTCCTTGCAACCCTAGCTTTGCAGATAAAGGACGCTGCGCGGGTTGCCTTCTGGGCTCACCGGCCGATTGCCCTTTCAGATTCAACAGTTTCTAAATTATCTTTCAGTTTCTGCTGTAAAGAGTGGCCACCTCCTTTTCCCTCTAGGGGACTAAAGCCAGAGGAGAATGTTGCAGGGTTTGCCTCTGTGGTCATCTTCTTAGAGCACCGCCCCCCCTCGCGCCCCCACACTCTTTTCCTCAGCCGTTGCTTAGTGAGTCCCTGCTGTGGACCACGCTTGGAGATGGTCCTCAAGTATTAGTTTAGGGGGACGACGCTGCGCTTCACAAGACCTGCCCCAGAGCCCTATGACGCAGAAGCACGCTAGTGAAGTGCGCATGTGCGGGCAGGGCCTCCCGTGGGACTCTCGCGGGGGCCGCAGCCAAGGACTGGGGCTGGCGGCCTGGGGAGCTGCTGGGTTCTCGGCCCTGGCCGGCGGGTCCTGGCCGAGAGTGGCATCTGGGGCTGTTTAGGGTCTGGAGCTTCCTGAGTTGGAGGACTCTGTCCTCTGTTTTCAGGGACTCAGGGTGACCTGAGTTGGTGGTTCCTGGGTTTGCCTGCTCTACTGCTGGCAGGCGCGAGCACGGGCTGTGCACGTTGTCATGCCATCAGTTATTTACTTTTGTTCTAAAAATTAATATTTGCATTATTACATTTAGATTCATATCTTATTAAATCTTATACTGCATAATTCTAGAACATTTTAACACATATGTGGGTCTTGGATTAACATTGATGCATATTTGCAAATTTATGCTTTAAAACATTTTTATTTTAGAGACAGGGTCTCACTCTGTTGCCCAGGCTGTAGTGTGGTGGTGCCATCATAACTCACAGCAGCCTCAACCTTTCGGGCTCCAGCGATCCCTCCCTCCCCGCCTCAGCCTCCCAAGTAGCTGGGGGCACAGGGACCCCCAGCTGCGCCACCACGCCTGGCTAATTTTTAATTTTTTTGGTAGAGATTGGGTCTTGCCATGTTGCCCCGCCTGGTCTCGAACTCCTGGGCTCAAACGATCTTCCTGCCTCAGTCTCCCAAGGTGCTGGGATTACAGGGTTAACCACCGCGCCTGGCTCAGACAATTTTTATTGTGCTTATACATGTAATAGATGTAATTATTTTTTCAAGCACCAGTTGTTTTTGTTAACCTTACAAAGCTGCCTTCAGTTTTCCTCAAGTTCACTCTTCTGCCTTCACTCACGTCCCATTCCTGAGTTAATTGTTTTGTGTACTCCCTCTCAGGTGACTGGCCGGACTCGGCTTCCCAGCTCTAACTGGAGAGTTGTCCCTACTGTGCGGCAGGCAGAGGAGACCTGTGAGCTGGGAGGGGGAGAGGGAATCTCATTTATTGTGTGCTTACTGTGTGTCAGGCACACTTTAGGTACACTATAACATTTCATCTTTATTAATCTGTTTTAAAAATTTCAAAACAAACACAAATGTGCAGAAAAGTTATGCATACAGTCAATACCGAGAGCTGATTCTGTTTCCTGAACCATTTGGAAGTTGTCAGTCTGAACCCCCTCATTCCCAGGTACTTTGGTATTCAATAGATTCTTGGGGGCCGGGCGCAGTAGCTTACGCCTGTAATCCCAGCACTTTGGGAGGCCGAGGCGGACGGATTGCTTGAACTCAGGAGTTCACTGGCAACATAGTGAAACCGTGTGTCTACTAAAACTAAAAATAAATTAGCCGAGCGCGGTGGTGCACGACTGTGGTCGCAGATACTCAGGAGGCTCAGGTGGGAGTATGGCTTGAGCCCAGGAAGTTGAGGTTGTAGTGAGCCGAGATCTAATGCAGGCATCAAGTACTTTACCACGATCTGATCCTCAGGCCCCATTCAGGTTCCCCACGTGTTGCGGTAACGTCCTTAACGGAAAGGACCCAGTTCGGAATCATGCGTTGTATTTCCCGGCCTCTAGCCTCCTTCTGTCTGGAGGAGTTTCCCGGTTTTCCCTTGACTTTCATGGCTGTCATTTGTGAGTATCAGAGGCCAGTGATTTCACAGAATGGACGTCCACTGGCATGTCTGATACTTGGCAGGGATATCTGAGAGGCAGTGCTGTGTTCTCATTGTATCTCATCCGCTGGTGGGACTGGGATTTGGGGATGTTCGCTGATCCCTTGGGGCAGGTGGCCCAGGCGCCTGTAAGGGATCTGGTCTTGGGGCGCCTGCGCAGTCCCCGGCCTAGGCCTTCCTGGCAGATCTGCGGGCGCCACCTGGCGGCCACTGCCAACTCCTCCCTTGCGCTCCAGCCACCCCTCCCCTCCCGGTGCCGTGGCCGGGGCCGTTCCCTGGAGAGTGGACTACTGGGGCTGGTGCCGGGAACCGGGGCCTGCAGGGGGCGGCACAGGCGGGCCCCCAGGTCATGCGGGGCCCGTCTGCTCACAGGGACCAGCCAGGCCAACCTGGGGAGGGTGCCTCTTTGTTTATGTCTGTATTTCTCTGCCTGTCTGTGGAAACCACAGATCTCCAATTCTAAGCCAACACCACAAGATTCATTCTGCTTCTCTCGGAGACGCCTGCCTTCCTGCCTGCCTTCCTGCCTGCCTTCCTTCCTTCCTCCCTCCCTCCCTTCCTCCCTCCTTGCCTACCTTCCTTCACCAGGTTATGAAACTGGCTAATTTTCCATATTTTTTGTAGAGACAGAGTTTCACCGTGTTGCCAAGACTGGTCTCAAACTCCTGGGCTCAAGGGATTCACCTGCCTTGGCCTCCCAAAGTACTGGGATTATAGGCATGAGCTACTGCACCCGGCCTTTTTTCTTTTTTCTCTCTTTTTTTTGAGACAAGGTCTCACTCTGTTGCTCAGGCTGGAGTCCAATGGCATGATCTCAGCTCACTGCGGCCTTGAACTCCTGTACACAAGAGATCCTTCCACCCATCCTCCAGAGCGTTAGGGTTGCGGGCCCAGCCACCACGCCAGGCTGAGGCATTTTTCTAAGTGTCTTTGCTGAAAGTGAGAAGACTGGCTTACGTTATCCTCAATATGTTTATTTCTGTGATCACCCTTTTGTAATTAATCTCTGGTGTCCACCGCCAACTGTTACCCATGTGAATGCATGCCTCGCCCCACCTGGGCTCTGACACGGGCAGGTTTCCTTCTTGTCTTGTATGTCCGTCCCCCTCACCCTACAGACCCTGACTCCTGTGTCAGGCTGCCCTTTCTTGGGGACCCCTGTATCACCATGCCTGGCCCTGATGCCTCTTGCCAGGGTGCCATTCTGTGGGAAGGCCCTCTGCACTGAGCTTGGGCACTGACGCTCTGCCCTGGCCCCACCTCACTGCTGTTGCCCTGCACCTGCACCTTGCTCTGCCCCGTCTAATCTAGGACTGAATTCTTCAGGCAGGGGAGAGGACCCACGTTCCCTGTCGCTGGAATAACAGCTCTGGTGATGAAACTGGTTTTCATTTCATAATTGCAATTTTAGTTATAGTGAAAGAGACAAAAATTTGTATTGGAGCAATTCATGGGCATCTCTGCAAAAGGAAAATTATAGTTTGAATAGCAATTTGAATATGAGGTTTTTTTTTTTTTGGTGGTACAGAGAGCTGAAAAGGGCAGCAGAGGCTGGCTGTGTAGGTAGTAGGCAGCTTGCCCAGTTGGCAGAGGCAGGAGTAGGATGTTGGAGCAGGGTGTACTGGTTCTGCCTGGCCAAACCCATGCTGGAGTCACCTCAAAGGCAGTGGCAGGGGAGTTCCCTCAAGGGGCTGCTCCAGACTGCGGGGAGATGGGGCCAGCTTGGATTCCAAAGAAAGAAGCACTAAACGCCAGGGTGATGAGTCCACAGCATTCACGAAGGGAACTTACAAGAGCTGCGGCAGTCCTGGGACAGCCAGTGAGAGAAAGGGACATTTACCTAGGGCTGTCTGCCACCGGGGGGCTGGGGTTTGGAGTGTATGTGGGAGTTTGAGGACTTTGTCATGGCGGGGCTAGTTTGTAGGTGTTTCTCAGCAGGATGAATCTTCCAGTGTTCTCCAGCAACAGCCTTCACTCTATCAGTCCTGAGAATGTTCACAGCCCCAGTTTGGGTTCAAGCCTGCAGGGAAACACACAACTGGCTGGGTCACAGAGTGGTCAGGGCATAGACAGAAAGTGGGGGGAGATTGGGGGATCCTCCTGTGGCCCGTGTTGGAAGATGCTGATCCCCGCTGTCCACCCTGCCAGATGTCCAGGGTGCTGCAGAAGGACGCGGAGCAGGAGTCACAGATGAGAGCAGAGATCCAGGACATGAAGCAGGAGCTCTCCACGGTCAACATGATGGACGAGTTTGCCAGATACGCCAGGCTGGAAAGAAAGATCAACAAGATGACGGATAAGCTCAAAACCCACGGTACTGCGTCCCTTGCAGCCTGAAGGCTTCGTGAGAGCTGATTAATAGAGAAGTCTGTATGTAAAGATTAGTAGAATACATGCTTTGCTTCTTGGATGTTTTGAATATTGATGGAAACTTTTAAGTTATCTGGAGGAAACTCAGTAATAATTACTTTCTTCCTATTTGTTGGTGAACCTTTGCTTTCTAATCACAGAAACATCTAAGAATCCTCTCAGATTTTCCTCAGAGCCAACTCTTTATTGTAGGTTTTCATTTTTAAATTCATCAGTTTTCTGAGAGAAGCCCAGAAAAAAAGTCTCACAGTGGATTGTCAGAGACTTTTGTTCCACTCTCTAGAAAAATGCCCAGCAGTGTCCTCTTCCGAGTGTCACCTCCCGGGTACAGTCTCCTGTGATGAAGAGCGCTTTCTCAGGGCAGCCCGTGTGCTGAGGAACCCTGTGCACAGCGTGTGCACAGTCAGGCAGCTGTCTCTGTGGCTAGGAAGACAGACAGGGGGGGCCTGTCCAGGCCCAGGACAAGCTGGATTAAATAGGGAGGAAAATTTATTCCTTTTGGTAAGTGGTAATTCTGTTATACAAAGAATCTTTGATTTCGTGAGTCATTTTAAGAGTTTTCAAAGGCCGGGCGCGGTGGCTCAAGCCTGTAATCCCAGCACTTTGGGAGGCCGAGACGGGCGGATCACGAGGTCAGGAGATCGAGACCATCCTGGCTAACGTGGTGAAACCCCATCTCTGCTGAAAAATACAAAAAAACTAGCCGGGCGAGGTGGCGGGCGCCTGTAGTCCTGGCTACTCGGGAGGCTGAGGCAGGAGAATGGCATAAACCCGGGAGACGGAGCTTGTAGTGAGCTGAGATCCGGCCACTGCACTCCAGCCTGGGCGACAGAGCGAGAGTCTGTCTCAAAACAAAACAAAAAAAAGTTTTCAAAATTAAAGCTATTCAAATCTCAATCTGAGTAGGATTCTATTTTAAATAATGGCATAATGAGATAGTGGGTGAATTAAAAATTCTATTTTACATTTTCTCAATATGTTGAATATGTTGAGTGATTGTTCCATTTATAATCAGAAAGTGTATTATACAGGAAAATAACATTTCTGTGTATTTGAATATGTTGTTAATTTTTTAGGACTGACATAATTGTTTGTCCTGTTTTTCCTTTCAGTGAAAGCTCGGACAGCTCAATTAGCCAAGATAAAATGGGTGATAAGTGTCGCTTTCTACGTATTGCAGGTAAGTGTGCTAGAGCGCCAGCCGCGTCATTGGAGTTGGTGGCCCTGAACTCCACAGCGTTGCCTGCAGATCCAGGGCTGGGAGTTTGGGCTGTTCCGCCTTCAGCTGTTGTGTGGTGTGGCCCTGCCCACACGGAGCTCTAAACACTCTCGGTCTGTAAGTCAGACTAAAAGGAAGCCTTTCTCTTGAGGAGAGTTGTTACAGTTTGGGACTTTTTGGCAGATGAACTGTGAAGGAAGTTCTCGGAGAGCTTCCACCACGCCTTCATCCCTGTGTGGTCTGAACGGCCAGGTGGGATGAAGTGAGAAGCTTATAGATGACGTTGGTTTTTTCTGAGCTCTTCAGTAATTTGGCTCTTACTTGTTACCTGGTATACTTCATGGGCACTCTCCACCCTCCAGGTAGAGAACCAGCTTTTCTCACTGGAATTGGCTTCTAGCCTTCCTGCCTGGGGCTTAACCCACGGAGCCTCTCGCGGAGCTGTTGCTGGGCTCTGCTCTGCCCCAAGAGTGCAGTTGTGCTGCCCAGACACCTTTAGCAGCTGCCGTAAATATCCGAGTTGCAGTACTGTGTGATCTAGTACCAAGGCAAAGCATTCAAGCTCACCCTGCAAAAAGGTTAGTTTGGGCGAGGGGGTAGATTTAAGGAAATTGATCCTGAGGCACTGTTATTTGCTAAGAGGTAAGTTTCCTGCAGATATAAAGGAGTTAGGCCAGCAACGCTCTTTCATGTCTCCTCTTCTGAGTGGCCTATTCAAGCCGGGAAGGGGACAGATGACAATCGAAGGAATGCTGCAGGGGGATGGAGGGAAATAAAGCATCCCCCACCATTGAAACTTACACAGGGCTCACCTCTGCGTGCCTTGCTAACACTGGTGTACTTGGGAGAATTCCCTGTCTTTTCAAGGATGGCTTTCATCACTAATAAGGTGTGTTTAGCGTACAGTCTGGCTACCCAAAGGAGATACTCAGTGAGAAAAGCACACCCGTGTTATGGGAGACTTTGGTTAGTTGATCAGCTAATTCAAATTATGTGTGGATTGTATTTATCCTAAAACAGGGAAATGCCAGTTCACAGAGGAAGGCTCGCCTACTTGTTGGCAGTGTTCTGGACATGCTGCTGAGCTCGTCTTTAATTAGACTTTCTAATTGAAGGTTTCACCAGGGGACATTAGCGGCCGTGTGTGCTCATCTGTTGTCTGTGGGGACTGGGTTCCTAGGCTTGAGGTGCTCAGTCTGGAGAGTTTTCCTGGGTTTGTTTTCGCATTTCCCTGTGCTCCCTTCTGTGCGGTGGGTCTTGTGACCGGCAGGCTGTGCCACTCACCACGGGTGTCTTTCCAGGCTGCGCTGATGATCTCACTCATCTGGAAGTATTATTCTGTCCCTGTGGCTGTCGTGCCGAGTAAATGGATAACCCCTCTAGACCGCCTGGTAGCCTTTCCTACTAGAGTAGCAGGTAAGAATTTTCTGGAAGATACAGTGGAAGAGTGTGGATAGGCTTGTGTAGGGGTGTGTGGTAAAAGATTAAGTTAGCCTGACATCCTCCTCACTGGCCATTTAGTGAGCGGGTTTTGTGAGGCTTGCCATGAAGAAACTGAGCTCTAGAAAAGTTACTTCACTTGTCTAGTGTCACCAAAATGTTAAGGAGCAAAGCTAGAATTCAGTCCTAGGTCTGTTTCCGGGACCCATGCCCAGTGCGTCAAGTCTGATACCCCATTGAAACACTAGCCGTAGGTCCACAGTTCTGTCTCTTCTCAGTCCCCATTGTGGTTGGCCTCTCTGTAGCACTTAATGCTCTTGGCTATTCTTTTATTTTTTGAGACAGAGTCTTACTCCGTCACCCAGGCTGGAGTGCAGTGGTGCGATCTTGACTTGCTGCTACCTCTGCCTTCCAGGTTCAAGCAATTCTTATGCCTCAGCCTCCCATCTAGCTGAAATTGCAGGCGTGCACCACCATGCCCAGCTAATTTTCGTATTTTTAGTAGAGACAAGGTTTCACCATGTTGGCCAGGCTGGTCTCAAATTCCTGACCTTAAGTGATCCTCACGCTTCAGCCTCCCAAAGTACTGAGATTACAGGCATGAACCACTGTGCCCGGCCACGTTCTTTTATTTTTGAAGATAATTTTTTTGGATATTAAAAGTAGTACATGTCACTATAGAATGATTAGAAATATAGTGATTAATTACAAACCCCAGCTGGGTGCACTGGCTTACACCTGTAATCCTAGCACTTTGGGAGGCCAAGGTGGGCAGATTGCCTGAGCCAGGAGTTTGAGACCAGCCTGGGCAACATGGTGAAACCCTGTCTCTACTAAAATACAAAAAATTAGCTGGGCGTGGTGGTGCGTGCCTATAATCCCAGCTACTTGGGAGGCTGAGGTGTGTGAATCACTTGAACCCAAGAGGGGGAGGTTGCAGTGAGCTGAGATCATGCCACTGTACCCCAGCCTGGGTGAGAGAGTGAGACTCTGTCTCAAAACAAAATAAAATAAATAAAAAGATTCTTATTAGCTTTTAATGCTGTGATATATTTTTCTTTGTCTTTTTTTTCCCATTTATTTTGATATAGTTAAGGTCACCTGGCACATAACATTGTGTACCTCCTTTTTACTTTATAGTGTAAGCCTATTCCCACGTCTTAGTTTTTTAGGGCTAAGTGAAATACTATAAACTGGGTAGCTCATAAACAACAGAAATGTATTTCTCACTGTCCCGGAGGCTGGGGAGTCCAAGATCGAGGTGCCGGCAGATTTGACGTCTGATGATGGCCCGTTTTCCTGTTCATGGATAATGTCTTCTCACTGTGTCCTTGCATGGTGGAAGGACGAGCTCCCTTAGGCCTCTTTTGTAAGTGTGCTAATCCCAGTCACAAGGACTCTGCCTTTGTGACTTCATCACCTCCCAGAAGGCCCCAACTCTTAGTGCCATCCCTGTGGGGGGTAACGTACTAACAGATGAATTTTAGGGGGATACAAACATTCAGACTATAGCACCATATCAGTAAATTTCTTTTCTTTTTTTTTTTTTTTTTTTGAGGCAGGGTCTTGCTGTGTTGCCCAGGCTGGCAGTGGCACCCTCCTAGCTCACTACAGCCTTGAACTCCTTGGCTCAAGTAATCCTCCCACCTTAGTCTCCTGAGTAGTTAGGGTCACAGTTGCACACCACTATGCAGCTAATTAAAAAAAAAAAGTTTTTTATAGAGATGGGGTCTTGCTTTGTTGCTTAGGTTGGTCCCACACTCCTGGCATCAAGCAATCCTCCCTCCTCAGCTTCTCAGAGTGCTGGGATTATAGGCGTGAGTCACCTTGCCCGGCACATTTCTTCATTAAGGAATTTGCAGTAGCTGTTCTTCATTTAGATATGTCATCTGCAAATTTTCCTGAGGAAGGATATTTATTTGGGTCCTGATTTTTTGCTGTTAAAGATAATGCTGCAGCACACATCCTTGCTGGTCTTTGGTTGTGATTTGTGGTTATGATAGAGGTGAATATTGTATCAAAAGGAATGACTATTTCTTTTTCTTTTTTTTTTTTTTTAAGACAGAGTCTCACTCTGTTGCCCAGGCTGGAGTACAGTGGCGTGATCTCGGCTCACTGCAACCTCCGCCTCCCAGGTTTCAAGTGGTTCTCCTGCCTCAGCCTCCCTGGTAGCTGGGATTACAGGTGCCTACTACCACGCCTGACTAATTTTTGTATTTTTAGTAGAGACAAGATTTCACCATGTTGACCAGGCTGGTCTTGAACTCCTGACCTCAGGTAATTCACCCGCCTTATCCTCCCAAAGTGCTGGGATTACAGGCGTGAGCCACTGTGCCTGGCTGGGAATGTCTGTTTCAAAGACTCCCAATTTAGCTACCACTCCTGTCCAGTTCTCCACCCTTTCCTTCCCCTCTCCTTTGTTTGACACAGCTGGGCTAGGCCAGGAGCTCTGCGCTGCAGGCCAGAGAAGCATCCAGCCACCCTTCCATGCCTCCAGCAGGGCCATGGGCTACTCTTGCAGCCTGTCCTCCTGGACAGGGGTTTATGTGTGCCTCTCCATTATTGGTGGGGCAAGAAAGGCATAGATAGACATTGCTTTGTTTATAATGCTTTCTGAGAAAGGAAAAGTTAATCTTACAGGTTTGGTTTTGGAATCTATTAATATCATAAGTAGTAACGCACATCTCTCTGGCAGGAAAGGGAAATTCAGCCCAGGGTCCACTGTTCACTGCAATTCCTGCTTAGTAAAGAATGCAGCCCTGTGACTCTGTAGAAAGTGACAAATTCGGGCTGGGCACGGTGGCTCACGCCTGTAATCCCAGCACTTTGGGAGGCGGGCAGATCATCTGAGGTCAGGAGTTCGAGACCAGCTTGACCCACATGGTGAAACCCTGTCTCTACTAAAAATACAAAATTAACTGAGTGTGGTGGTGCACACCTGTAATCCCAGCTACTCGGGAGGCTGAGGCAGGAGAATCACTTGAGCCCGGGAGGCAGAGGTGCAGTGAGCTGAGATCGCACCATCGCACTCCAGCCTGAGGGAGAGAGCGAGACTCTGTCTCAAAAAAAAAAAATGAAGAAAGTGACAAATTTGAACCTATGAAACATAAACTTCGCCTCAGCCTAGCACTGCTCAAAAAGAGTAGAAATACTGTCTTTGCTGTGAGTTAAGGACAGCAGAGACAGATGTGGGCAGCACTGCTGGGGCGCTCTCTCATGGTGAATTTCTTTATTTTCAGGTGGTGTTGGAATTACCTGTTGGATTTTAGTCTGTAACAAAGTTGTGGCTATTGTGCTTCATCCATTCAGCTGAATAGGAAGATGGATACAGCTATGAGACTTTTAAAAATGGATTTTCTCTTATTAGGTTAAAAATCTGATTTACACTGTTTTGTTTTTTAAGAAACAAATGTGCACCGTTTCGATTTTTTGTTGTTGTTGAATATGTTTGTTCTTGGACTTTATGAGAGATTCTTATAAGAATCATTTTCTACACCTGTCATTGAACCAAGAAAGTCCAG